TTATATTATACATTCATCAAGAATCACATAAAATTTGACAGACTTCCTCTCATTCTTATAGAATCACAGTCTGTTCTGTACAAAACGCAATAAGATTGTTCAATTTTCTGCAATCCACAGCTACAGGTGAGTTAACTACTTTCTTCAAGCACTTGTGTTCTGCATGTGAGAAAACGAAAAATCGAAGAACAAAACAATGAATCAGATTGCACACAACACATGGCAAAAGATGGTAAAGCTAAGGATCAAACTATAGCCTTAGCGAAAAAAACAAAGTGGTCCAAATGTTGTATAATACTGATACATTAACACTAACTCATCAGGTTTTGATTTCAAAAGACTAAGAGAGTGAAAAGTAACTCTCCGAGTCGAGCAAATTGTATGTTCTGGCCTGTTATGTTATTCACATTCAACGAAACACAAGGAGCTCCCCATATCCAATTCTGCAGTTTAAGAAGCCGAAGAAAAGCAGCCAGGCAAAGTACACTAATGGGTCGATAGAAAAAAATAGCTGCTTTTGCATGATTTGAAGAGGAAGAAAATTATAACAAGCTTCCCGGGATTTTCTTAATCTAAATATAACTTTAACAGTGTTCACATTCTTAGGCAATCTTTTTTCGCATTCTCGAAAAAACAAGAAAAAGGATTAAACAAAACCTGAGAAGAAACAGAATGCTATTCACATACCAGTCTTTGCACATTCTTCACACTCTCTCATCATCATCATCATCAGATCATCTGGATATAAGGCACCAAAAACCAAAAGTGGGTTTTGTAACCATCTTTAAAAACTCGAGAGGCCAAAAAATAAAACGAAAAAAAAAGTCAGAATCTCATTTCTTTCCCTCCTGGCTTGCGAGTCCGCTCGTCTTTCCATCACCTGAATTTACTCGTTCTTTGCTTGCTATTTCATTCCTAGAGTCGAGCTTTTCGACCTCGAGAGCTTTCTTTTGCTCGACACCATTTTCTCTTTCTTTCTTCTTCACGTCTGACTGCTTCTTAGACTCGACAACAATTTCATTGAAGGCTACTTCTAACTTATCGAGCCTCTCTTTTACCGCAAGAAGCTCGGGATTAGAAGCTGCCGCTGCTTTTTCCTCGGCGGCCTTGAGCTCCATCTCTTTTGCCTGTTTTTCGAACTCAGCTTGCTTCTTTTTCTCCAGTTCCTAATGACAAAAGTCCACATAAGGTACGTGAATTGTGTAGACATTTCAAGAACTGATTACAATTTCTGCCGACATAATCCATTGTTTATAAGGAAGCTAACTCCCGATCAAATAGCGATAAATCGTTCAAGAACTAAAAGAACATTCTGAGCTGCTATCACTTGAAAATTTTAAATGGGCAAACCAATTTCAAACACAGATTAGTAAACGTACCGCATCCATTTTTCTCATTTCACGGCGTGCATATTGCGCGACAAGATACACCGCTGGCCAAGAACAGGAAAGATTAAAACTTGGAATGTAAATGAAAAAAAGGGACCAAACAAAAAAATATGAAATCTTTTCCAGCTGAATGAATAAATAAACAGGAGCGTACCCAATGATGGCAGGCAAACAAAGAACAGCTGCACCAGGTGAAAATCCAACCTAAAACAAATATGCAAATTAACTGAAGAAAGCACTCATAAAATGTAGCCTACAAACTGTTCGAAGAAATGCCTGAGAGGCAAAACAGAAAAGATACCCAAATTTCTTCTTCTTGGGAGGTTCGGAGAACAGAATTTTCGCGGCCGTCATGAAATCGAGGTTCTTTAGAGCTTTGTACTGATCGTTGTAACTAGTCAACTTAGACCCATCGCCGTCGCTGCTGCCATTGCTGTTGTTAACGGCGGCGGCGGCGGCGGGTTTTCCGTCGTGGGCGGACGAGCACATTCGTCGGATCAGGTAAGGTCTGAAGCGAGTCGGATTGAAGAATTTGAGATTTTTTCTCATTTTCTCTTCTTTTTCTTTTTTCAATTAA